GGTCCTTGTTTGGATTACCATCAGTCTCACTTCACGTCAGTCATCTCTGATACGTTGATTTTCGGCCATGACGAGCATTACAGAGCAGCCCCACCATCAATCATGCATGCGTCATGCATTATTAACCGCCTTTACTGCACACGTTTCCCATTACACACGCCGTTTATTTTAGTCTTCTTTAAAGTAAGTTCAAATATAGAAATGTCTTTGGGGAAATGGCATTGGAATTAGAAATAAAAAACCAAGAGTCGGGATAGGATTGCAGCTCTAACAAGAGAGTCCTGTGCGTTTCCCATTTGGCAACAAAGAAGAAGAAGAAGAAGAAAAAGAAGAAGCCTTTTAAATGATTCACGCTCGGAGAGAAAATCAGTGTAGCTAGCTGACAGGAACAAAAGCCTGTGGTCGTGATCTGGCCCAGCTGGGTCACCTGGACGAGAGCGTTCGGTGCTAAAGGACCTCAAAAGCATCAGGAAACCCAAGTGATGTTATCACGACAGGAAATAACAGAGCATGTATCTAAATATAAACAATAGTTAGAGGACATGATGGAGGCGGTCGCTTTGTCTTCTTTTACTGCAGTACCAAGTACAGCTGCCTATCTGGACTGTAGTATTTCCCCCCCCAGATTCACCCATGCTTTCTACCCGAGGCCTTGTTGATCTTAACGTGACCGTACAGCGGCCATTTCGTGCAGTACAACGCTCAGTGGTTCCCTTGACTCCGAGCTCCTCTCCGCGGCCTTATCGCCTCCATAAATCAGCTTCCGTTTGACACTCTTTTTTTGCTGCCATTGCACTGGGATACGCCGGGCAGTCAAAATAGCCTCATCCCTTGCAAGAATAGCAACGTGTTTTCGAACACGATAAAATGAGACAGCAGATCCGGCCCACCTAACAGCAGTCCTCCATGACTAAGACCTGACTGGATTATGTAATCCTGTCAAATCTGAATTCATGTTTCCCCCGCAGCACACCGCCGGCTACAGTAACTCTCTAACATTTACAATGGAAACAGTTTCATCTTCCAAAGGCTTTTTTTTTTAATAATCATCCTTCTGGATGTAATGTTTCCCACCGA